TTTTTTGAGTATTTGTGCTAAATGGGCGTCCCTTTGTAGAAGCTCGATATGACAAAGATGGCATTTTAAGGCCTACACCCTAGGTCGTCTTCAATAGCGAAACAGTTTATATGGATTTCAACTCGAGAAGCTCCAAGTGCTGTTAACAAAAATATACCGAGAAGGATTTACTGTACCCACAGCAATTTATAGGGTTATTTTGCATCTTTGGCGTTTGGATAAAGGGTCTCCTCTCACGACATGAACAAATCCCCGATAGGGCATGTATGCTTTATATGTATAGATAAGGCGATTAGAACGAGCTATTCTCAATTTCGACCAGTATCCCCATAATCTACGGAGCTACAAATTGTAATACTGCCCTTTGGTGTGAGAGGTCTATCAGGCATGCTTGTTCTCCTATATGCATTTCACGCCATGCGAGAGAGTAAGAGCCGATTCTTGATTATGTCATCCTAACGACACGTTAGTCAGCACTTCGCACGGGCCACAAAGTGCTAATAGGAAAACGCGCTTCTTTTTGACGCGCCCGAAGCTTTCGTTGATGGCGGAGAGAAATCATAAGGACAGAGGAAACAGCTCAACCACCGACAAACCACAGACATACAATGGCACTTCTTGTTGACAGGCTGCGGCCTAAAACCCTCGACGCACTTACCTATCACCAAGATCTTTCAGCTCGGCTTAGAGCACTGGTATGAGACCAGCGCGAACTGAACTTAGTGGACATGCAATCCTGACCTCACTTGACATAGGCGCAAAGCGGTGATTTCCCCCATCTTCTTGTCTATGGACCATCTGGTGCAGGAAAAAAGACCAGGATAATTGCCACACTCAAAGAGCTATATGGACCGGGTGTCGAGAAAATCAAGATAGATGCTCGGGTGTTCCAGACCAGCAGTAACCGCAAGCTCGAATTCAACATTGTATCCTCTATATATCACCTTGAACTCACGCCATCGGATGTGGGGACTTACGACCGTGTCGTTGTCCAGGAGCTTCTCAAGGAAATAGCGCAGACGCAGCAGGTAGATCAATCTGCCAAACAGCGGTTCAAGGTCGTGGTTATAAATGAGGCAGACCATCTTACCAGAGACGCCCAGGCGGCACTAAGAAGAACCATGGAAAAATACAGTCCAAACATGCGATTGATTCTGCTTGCCAACACTACTGCCAATATCATTGCTCCAATTCGATCAAGAACCCTGCTAGTCCGGGTACCTGCTCCTTCTGAAGACGATATATGCCAAGTTCTGAAGCTAGCCGGGAAGAAAGAAGGCTGGAATGATTGTCCTGGACTTAACAAGCGACTAGCTAAGGAGAGCGGAAGGAACCTGCGACGAGCTTTATTAATGTTTGAAGCTGTTCATGCACAGAAGTGAGTTAGAGCCATCTTCACCCTCATTGGCCCGGGTGACTGCTGACAGTCGTATAGTGAGAAAGTTTCAGATAACACGCCAATTCCACCACCAGATTGGGAAGCACTGATATCTGTGGTGGCTGATGAGATCATGGCAGAGAGATCGCCGGCTAGAATACTCCAAGTCAGAGCCAGGCTGTATGACCTACTGACCCATTGCATACCACCAACTACCATTCTAAAGGTAATCTCCACAGCCTATAAGTCAAAGGTTTTAACTGTAGCTTGGATTTGAAGCTAATCTTACTCTAGACCCTTACCTTCAAACTGATACCCAAAATTGATGACGCGCTAAAACCTGAAGTTATTAAGTGGTCGGCCTTCTACGAACACAGAATAAAGATGGGAAGCGTATGTCCATGCTATGCCAATTCTTTGAAATCAATGCTGACAAGATATTGCTACTGTTCAGAAAGTTATATTCCACCTTGAAGCTTTTGTAGCAAAGTTTATGAGAATACTTGAAAGGTACGTTCTGAGCAGTATTGACTCCTACTTGGTACAACTACTAACGTTCAATAGTTATTTGATGGGTCTCGACTTTTAAATGATAAATGTTGTACGGGCGGCATTGAGCTTGTAAAAGGAGAATACATGTATCATATTTACTAAATCTTATGTCCATTATGATATTGGAGAATACATATCAGTTACTCATTTTCCCGCCTTATTTGTATGGGAGAGAAGGAAGAGATAAACGCTCTATACTTTAACAAACGTCTAAATTACAGCTAATATACATCCAACTCCATCGACCCGCGGGTATATCTACCTTTTCTATGAAGGAGGAGCCGGTTCTGACGTTGTCGCTGGTTTTGAATTGAGCGGAACTGCTCGTCGTGGCCTCTTCAGGGACTCTAGAGTAACGCCGTCTTTTAACTTCGTAATTCCAACAACAGGAGGATCGCCTTTTTTCACGAACTCGTACATTCCTACTAAAATGTTAGCTTCCCTTCAAGAGGAACAAGATACAATGCCCCAATATGTCACATACCAGGCATCTTGTGGGCAGCTAGCCTAAATGCCTCCCTGGCAACCTTCTCGTGTATATCGCCCTTCAATTCGAAAATAACTCGACTAACTCCGACTCTCGCAGCCCAATAATCAAATTTACCCTTTCCTTTTCCCATTCGCATTTCGTTACCACTCGTATACACACCGATGTTGGCGCTAACTCGGGGGTATAGCTTATAATTCATTCCTCTCAGACGTCTCTGAATTGCTTCGAATCCAATCTTCAACGACGAGGCGGGCATTCTTCGGTCATGGTCGACCATTCGCAGTCCGTAGTCTCCCCAAACAACCGTTGTTCCGCGAGAAGATCCACCCGTAGCCATATGAGGTCGGCCTTTTGGCGATTTGCTCTTCTCGGCCGCTTTAGGCACCAGCCAGTTGGATGCCGGGGAGGTTGTGGAAAAGCATCGTGCCGCGGAAGTTGATATCGATGATACTGGTGAGTGTGTTTAGTTATGGATCCCACACAATGCGTGGTGGAAAAGGGCATACTAACTCCTCGATGGGATTGAAAAGAGGCCGGATGGGCCGAATACTCTTGACGACGGCCCCATCGGTGCGTGTGTGCAGGCTGGACAACGGCGTTGAAATGCTGTCTCGTCGTCATCTTTTTGCGATCAAGCAGAAGTTGCAAAGTCCATATTACATAAGCCGATTAACTTACATAATTTATTAGATAAGCTTATTAATTTCATCACGTGTTTTGGCGCGTCCTAGGGAAACGCCAACCTAAAGCGGACGTGTTTCTCTCTTTAGCCGGTATATTGGACATTTGGAGCAGACAGATTGAACGCCAAAGCAGCTTCTTGACGGTGATTGCAGTGTTCTGCCGTGGTAGACAGGATGGCACCGGATATCAGAAATTTTTTTGGGCCCAAGGGGAGCCAGGGTGCTGCGCCAAAACCAAAACCAGCTGTTAAGGAATCAGAGGTACATACCCCAGGACAATGAGTTTGATATTGGAATTTTGACGCTGATGATGGTAAATTCTAATTTTATCAGGAGAAATCGAATCCCCGGAAAAGAAGTATGCTATTTCTTGTGGAAAGCCTTGTCATCGGGATTATGCTAACTGTGGTCTAGGAAGTAGAAAAGTCATTGAGGATAGTGATGAAGAAGAGGAGACCGTTAAAGCACCCCCAAAACCACAACCGAAGAAGAAGCCGTGAGTAGTAATGGCCTGCGATTTCCGCCGTTGACACAGAACACTGACACATATATGCCTAGAAAACCCGAAGAACCAAAGACCGAGCCTACCACCACATCCGAGTACTTTAGCTCAAGTAAAAGGAATCGCAAGCCAAACGCAGCTCCAGATAATAAGCCCAATTCAAATGGCCAGGAGAAGAAGGTCCTAGCCACGCGAGAGAGCCCACGGAAATCCACTAGAACCGCACCCTCCGTTGAAATCCATCCTCCGCCACTACCTTCAAAAGAAGCCAAGAAACCACGGAGAGCTGAACGGATAATTGATGCCGATGATCATCTTGGAGGAGACGATATTTTTGCCTCGGAATTTCAGAAAGCAGGAAAGGGTGACGATGACTACCAGGAGGAGGATGAATCTGATGATTTTGATGATATGATCGTGAAACCCCCAACTGCGTCGGACATACATTCAGATAAAACTAAAAAAGACACCCTTCCAGAACCTGAAAGAAAGGTTCAGAAGCGCAAGTCAGCAGCCTTGAGTGAAGACGAAGAGGAGGGTGAGGACGACGGTGGAAAGAAAAAAACGGCAAAGGCTCGCGCTCCCAAAACCACTTCCAAATCCACACCCAAAAAGCCTAGGGCAACTAAAGCGGACCAACCGGAAAGCAAAGAGATACAAGATATACTTAACAGTATTCCCGAAGTCAAAGCCCCGTCACCACCAACTGCGACGAAGAAATTCAACTTTGTTGCGGCTGCTCAACGCGCTCAATCCGGTGGTACTATCGATGACTCTGACCTACCAGTCGGGGAGCCGAATTGTCTTGCTGGACTCTCTTTCGTTTTTACCGGTGTTCTTGACTCCCTTGGGCGGGAACAAGGACAAAATCTCGTGAAAAAATACGGAGGAAAATGCATGTCAGCTCCAAGTTCAAAAACAAGTTATGTGGTATTGGGTAATGATGCTGGTCCGAAGAAACTGGAAACCATTCAGAAGTATAAACTTAAGACAATCAACGAAGGGGGACTGTTTGAATTGATTAGGAAACTTCCTGCCAATGGAGGTGACGGAAAGGCAGCCCAGCAGTATGCCGAAAAGAAGAAAGCTGAAGAGCAAAAAATCAAAGAGATGGCTGCTGAGATTGATCGGGAAGAAAAGAAGCGTGCCGCTGAGTCCAAAGCATCAGCTCCCCCTAGTTCAGGCACAGGAACCAAGGACAAGAACGCTAGTGATAAACGTGAGGCAGTTGATGACCGCCTCTGGACCACGAAATATGCACCCACATCCCTTAGCATGATATGTGGAAACAAGGGCACTGTCGAAAAGCTACAAACCTGGCTGCGTAACTGGCATGCAAACGCAAGAGCCAACTTCAAAAAGCCTGGAAAAGATGGCTCAGGGACGTACCGCACAGTTATGATACATGGCCCACCTGGAATTGGAAAGACGACCGCTGCACACCTAGTTGCAAAGCTGGAGAACTTTGATATTGTTGAGACAAATGCTAGTGATACCCGAAGTAAGAAGCTACTTGAAACCACCTTGCGCGGAGTACTTGACACTACCTCTCTTCAGGGTTACTTTTCTGGCGAAGGCAAGAAGGTTGAGCCTGGGAAGAAGAATCTGGTGTTGATCGTGGATGAAGTTGACGGAATGTCTGCTGGTGACCGTGGTGGTGTCGGTGCAGTAGCTGCCATTGCAAAGAAAACTAGGATTCCTATTATCCTGATCTGCAATGAGAGAAGACTTCCGAAAATGAAACCCTTCGATCATGTCACATTTGAGTTACCATTCAGGAGGCCAACAGCAGAGCAAATCCGTGCGCGGTTATTTACCATTTGCTACCGAGAAGGCATAAAGATACCTCCTCAGGTGCTTGATGGTCTTATTGAAGGAACTCATGCCGATATCCGCCAAGTGATAAACATGCTGTCAACGATAAAACTTAGTGCCAATAACCTTGATTACGATCAAGGCAAAGAAATGTCAAAAGCATGGGAGAAACATGTTATACTTAAGCCTTGGGATATTGTTGGGAAAATCCTTAGTGCACAGATGTTTGCACCCAGTTCAAAGGCAACACTCAACGACAAGGTTGAATTATATTTCAACGATCATGAATTCAGCTATCTGATGCTACAGGAGAACTACCTGCGAACAAACCCAATGGCAGCTAATTCCTACAGTGGCAAGGAGAGGCAGTTCAAGCTTCTTGAGTTGGCCGATAAGGCTGCGGAGAGTATCAGTGACGGTGATTTGGTGGATAGAATGATCCATGGCTCACAGCAACAGTGGAGCCTTATGCCAACACATGCTGCCTTCAGTTTTGTGAGACCAGCCAGCTTCATGGCTGGAAATATGACGGACAGAGTCGGGTTTACCAGCTGGCTGGGCAATAACAGTAAGCAAGGTAAGAGGCTGTTGGACCCCATATTTCTAGCATGTTTGTTTACTCACAGTTTCTCCCCACAGGTAAAATGGCTAGGCAAGTCAAGGAGATTCAGGGTCATATGCGTCTTCGTGCATCTGGTGACAGACACGACATTCGTCAACAATACATGCCCGTGATATGGAACAAGACCGTCAAAAGAATGGAAGTTGACGGGAAGGACGCTGTCGACGACGTTATTGACTTCATGGACAGCTACTTCTTGACCAAAGATGATTATGATTCTATTATTGAGCTTGGTCTCGGCCCCATGAACGAAAAGAACATCAATATCCAGTCTCAAACGAAAGCTACCTTTACACGTCTATATAATCAACGCTCTCACCCTCTACCGTTCATGAAGGCATCGAGCGTTGTGTCATCCAAGAAACTTCCCAAAGTGAAACCAGACTTGGAAGATGCCATCGACGAATCTGACGATGCTGAGGAAATCCTTGGAGAGGAAGAGGTCAAAGAAGAAGAAAGCGACTTGGACTTGAAGAAGGACAAATATGTCAAGGCCGCAAAGACCAAGAAAGCCGGCGGCAACGCTAAGAAATCTGGTACCACGAAGGCGAAATCCAAGAAGAAGAAGGTGGTAGACGACGACGACGACGATGATATTGAGGAGTCAGAGGAGGAGGCTCCCAAGAAGAGAGGCCGGAAGCCAAAGGCCAAAGGCAAAGCCTAACTAGGGAATATATTTTTAGGATTATCTTGGGAATGGTTCTTCTGACTGGCGGGCTGATTTGGTCGCCATTTTGTCAATCCCCCATTCCCTCTTTGTATACATTTACCATAATCAATGGTATTTTCACGCTAAAAATTCTCTTATCCCCCTATTCATTTGGAGCATCACATCGGACATGTCTATGATTTCTACAACATTGGGGCAAACAGGGGTTCTGCTATGTTGATACGATATGAATATAACGTCGCATCCAACATCAACATTTTTTGTTTTTTTTGAGCAACTATATAATTGGTCATTGCTATGCATTTAAAATCTTTCATAACAATAGGAAGATATTAGAAATATGTCTAGAAAAAGGCAACCCTAAATAACTAATAGATATACAAGGCCCTAAATTCCTCAGCAATATCGACAATCCTCTCGGTCAGGATTGGGCCCAAGGCACTCTGACACCGAAATCCTCGGCAGCACGCATGGCAGATACAACACATCCTTCCAGGAGCACCATTCCATCCCAGCACCAGCTGCCGACGAGAAACACATTTCCGTCTCCATTCCGCCACCCAGCAGGCTTTTCTGTGGCTTGTCCATCAGGGGTGGCTGACTTGTCAAAGATACGATTGACTACTGCCCTGCTTTGAGGGGTGCGTAATGTTCGGGTGAAATATGAACGGCGCACAACCTTGCTGGGGTCAATGGGTAATATGGGGCAGGTTGTTATTATGTATGACGAAGGGTGTTCATGTATGGACTCCGTTGATTCGACCGTGGAGCGGAAATGGCCCCATTCCACTTCTTCCCTGGACGTTGTTTGTGCCTTGACCGGCTCTGAATAGATATTTGGCAAGGTGGAAGCATCCGTGTGGATTAGGGATTCGACCGATCTCGTGGGCAAGAGAGAGGTTTCTTCCCGGAGCGGTTCAAAGATGGCTCCCACTATATTTGGCGGCACGGCCAGGATGACACGGTCAAATTTTCTCTGACAGCTGGACATGGGCGGTATCTTTTCACCGGCGAGCTCGGAGGCAGAGGATGTTGAGTCCCAGCATACCATGACCGAAGAGCCGGTTGGACGGACGGAGGTGACGCGGGCACCAAGACGGATGTTCAGGCCCTTTGAGAGGGTATCTTCGACTACCTGGGTTCCTTCACGGACGAGGTAGTGCGGTGCTCTATATGTGCGCCGAACATACTGTACTATGTCATGGGCCGGAAAGCTGAGCATTTCGGCATGGTTGCATGTCGACAAAGTAGCGAACGGAGGCAGGATGTACCGATACACAAAGTGCCGTGGGAGACGGACACGGTTGAAGTATTCCTCCAGGGTCTCTGGCTGGTCATCCTTGCGGGCATCTATCCAGAAACAGGCGAGGGAAAACCAACCGAAGAAGAAAGCAACATAGATGAGCTCCCAGAGCCACGAGAGGAAGCCCTGCCCACCAGGACGAAGAGGAGGGAGACGGTGGTTGTTTGAAGAATAGAGGAATGTTACTTTGGGCTGAGCCAGTTCCTCCTGGGCCTGGTCCGATTGGGCCTCTGGACTCGGAATTGCCTTGGGTATGAAGGAGTAGCTGAAGAGGAACTTGAGAGGATCACACTCGATGCCGAGATGCTTATACATGAGCGTCATATACTTATAATAGCCATCATCAAAGACTCGCATTGGATGGCTGATATGGAAAGTCTCCTGACCATTCTCTGATTTGATGGTTTCCCCCTCGGCATTGAGAGACAAGGCGTCTTGCTAGATATTGGGCGCGCAGTTAGCTTCCGGTTCCTGTGTCGCCTTGAGAAAGAAGAAAGCGAAGAAAGTGGTGCATGCGAAACAACGCATCGCACACGAGAAGCAGTGTGACAATCACCAGCCCGGAAAACAGAACTCAACATATTGAACCAAGGACGACAGCTTTGTCAATATATGAATCTCTCTTCCCCCATTGTGGAGGCATGGTCCCTATGGTTGGACAAGCTATATTATGACTGCGTCCGGGGCATATATATGGACGGGGGAAAAAAAAAAAATGAGAAACACAAAAAGGGGGGAAATGGAAGCTGCAGGAGTAGCTAGATGCACGCACCGATTCGAAAACTTCGATGTCGAATTTCTGGTTCTCGTCGTTCCGCAGGAGGTATGCGGTCACCAGGCCAGCCATGCCGGTGCCGACGATGGCCACGGAGATGCGCGATCCATCGCTGTTACTGCCAGCCCTTTGATTATTGGGGATTTCGCCTTCCAACATGTGGAACTATCTGGCGATGGCGAGTAACTAGTTACTCCTGGCAGGCCGTGAATTCACGAATATAGGCTTTGTTACGACTGAATATGCGCGCGGGGGACACTGTAGTTATTCCTAGGGAACGGATGTACGGAAGAAGAGCAGGGGCGCGATCTTCGGGAGGGAATGTATAGAAGAGCAAACAGGCCAGGGAGACGAAGACGAACGACTCTGGAACAATGACAGCCAGGACAGCAGAGTACCCGATATATGAGATTCTTTGAGGTTACGAGGAATGGAGATATATGGTTACTCCAAGGGGAGAGAGGTTGAAATTTGGTCGAAGCGATCTCTCAACCAGAAAATGGCCTGCTTGGCACCGTTAAGAGGCACAGGCACGCAGTTTGCCTTTAAACTACTGGTCAGAGGTTATTTTTTTTTTTCACTTACCGTGCTTTGACGGTTTGATGGCCAAAGTGCTGTCTGGCTAAGGGAGACAGGGGGGGCCTAGCCTGGGATGAGAATCGGCCATGCTTGATTGAACGGCCGTGGAATCTGCGGATTATTACTTATACGGAGAGACCACTCGTCTGACCGGCGAGCCATTGGGACGGAGAGATGGACGAACCCGGAGGAGAGTTCAGACAAAAGAGTTA